CTGCCCCCTGCTGCTGGCCAGGTCATCCCCTACTGCGCTGCCCCTGTCCCCCACAGGCCTGATCACCCCTTACTGCCCCCTCTGTTGGCCTGATTGCCCCTGCCAGCCTGGTCACCCCCAACTGTACCCCTGCTGTCCTGGCCAATCCCAACTGCCCCCCTGCCAGCCTGGTTGCCCCACACAGCCTGCTTGTTCAGTCATTTGGTCATCCCTCACCAACCTCCCTGCTAGCCTGGTCATAGGCAGTCATCTCGTGAGGGCATAAGGCTTAATTTGCATATTACCTCTTTATTAAATAGGATAGTTGCTTTCTCTATCACCCTGTAATATAGAATTTTCCCCCTAAAATAATCTTATAAATGGTAGTTATAATCCTAACAAGCCAACAAAGGGACATTTCGTTCACACTGCAAGATCTATGTAACTTAAAATGTATTGTATTTCCTACCTGAAAATTGGTCTGTTTAAAAGAAGGTACGACACAGTTCAACTCAATATGAGTTAAATAAGTATTTGTAGATTCATGTGCAAAGTGGACCACATATGTAGCACTAACTCTATCAGGAATTATTGTCAGTTCCAAACAAACTCTTAGAACACAACTGACTTCTAAATAGGAGACTGCTTATACATAAATCCAGTTGAGAGTCATATACTAAAAGTTTAAAACTGCAAAAATTTTTTATTAAGGTCCAAGACTACAAAATCAGTAATTTAAACTTTAAAATTAATCATAAAATATGTCTTATATGGCCTCCTAAAAAGCATGTTGTGCAGTGAAATATACAATTAAAAATAAAACCTTAAAATATCACAAGGAAGTATTTGGTTAAGAACTATAAAGACAATTTTGGCTTAAGTGTTCCCACCGAAACAGTGAACATAAGTACATAGCTAAAAAGATTGGAATGTCATTCTGCAAGTAAATAGAAACTAGAAATACAGACAAAAAAAAAATTATTAAAAGCAGCTGCCAGAGAAAAACATATTTTTCCTGATAAAAGATCAGCTACTTCATTTTCATTAAGACATAATATTTTAAATACTATTTTTTCTTCAGGAAATATTAATAATATAATACTAGCATCCTCTTACTAGTATGTAAAAGACCATAATTTCTACTCAGAAATTTTCCTTGGTATTCCTGATTACTAGAAAATATGAATTATGAATTCCAGTTGGTCAGATGTTATTCTAAGCATTAGTAGTTCCTTTCATTCTACTTATTTCTTTCTCTAAGGCAGTAGTTCCTCAGCAGAAATAACACATCAGAATCACATAGGACTATTTTGAAAATACACATTTCCAAATGCCATTCCTCAGAGAGCGGCTGACCATGTCTCAAGTGAAGCCACAATATCTGTTCTTAAAAAAAATTCCCCTAGTGAGATTCTGATTGCTAGGTGAAAAACTGTTTTAAGGGAAAAATTACATACTTGTACTACTGTTCAAAAGAGCTCTTATTTGGTCTGGCATTGCTGAAACTTATATAGCATGCAAAGCTATCAGTAGCAAAGAGGAAAACGCCACATTTCATTACTTACAGTAAAAAAGTTAGAGAGCAGATAAAACTATCTATTCAAAGAACATACAAACATACTTAAAAATTTTCTATATATTTATTTTGAAGTATGCATTTAGGACAAATGGTCTTGAAAATATATAAAAATACTTTATATTTTAATTCAACTTCAATATTTACACAATCCCTTGAAGAATTTTTATTTTCATCAAAAAATGTATTTCAACAACCTCCACAGTATTCTGAAAAGTCAGGAATTTAAAGATTTTTCTAATAGAAAAACTTTAGTTTCACCTCCAGAAAAAAATGAAACTTGGAATGATACTACTAATATTTTAAAACGTAATTCTGTCTCAGCTATGCTATGCCACATATAAGAAAAATATTCATCACTAAACTATAATAATCCTAAATGGTAGCATTTTATTTAAAAACAAAGCACAAAAATATTTTATAAAAGAAAATGTCTCATTGTAAAAAAGTTCAATGCTTCAAACAAAAATATTGTATCTGAGATTTGATTTCACAATATCAAGTTTTCATATGCAATTTGTAAACATACACCCAGTATAAGCTATCAACTTAAATAAAGACAGTTATCATTAAAAAAGAGTAAAAATGAAATTTCAGTGCAAAAATTCATATCAACTAAACTTATCCACTTAAGACAATTTTAATATGAAAATCACAACTTAAATTCATAATATAAAGTCATCCTATAAAGACTTTAAATCACTTTAAAATAAAACACTCTACAACAGTTATCAAGTTTTCCTTTTTGTGACTATTCCCTAGTAAAAACTTTCTTTTGATTAGCTTTTACAATGTCATCAGGAGATGCTGATTTGAAGTCAAATGGTGTTATTGCTATAAGAGGACTTATTTCTTTGTCCTTTATGTCTTGAACTTGTCTATTATAAAGAAAAGTCTTATAAAGGTCAAGGGTGCGTCGCTTGCAGCTTTTCAATGGGTAACGAAGACACAGTGTTGAAGCAAAAGCTGAAGGTCTAGCAGCAAGGGCCTTGGTCCAAGACAGAGAATAAGGTGGTTTCCTACTCAGAGAGCCTTTATTGTTTTTCTTATTATCCTTAGCAGAAATGGAATGTTTCCCTAGCTTCGAACTCAGAACTTTAGTTCCTGGTGTTGGAGCAATTGATTGGTCTACTACAGCTTTTGGAACAAAATCTGAAGTTTTTATAAGAACACTAAGGTCAATATTTGATTCTATTTCAGGTGACCTCATTTCAGATAAACTGAGCTTAATGGAATCTTTTTTATTCTGAGCACTGTCTATATCAATCGTTTCTGCAATCAAATCAGAAAGTGACAAATTCTCAAAGTCTCTTGTAGGAGTAGTTTTATGAAATGCCAAAGATGATAGAGATCCTGTTAATTCTGATACTCCAGTTGAAGACATACACCGATTTGCTAGTTGTGATAGGGGAAAGGATCCCAAACTGGCAGATGACTGGTTACAAAGATCAGATAAAGTACAGCATTGGGTTGGATTGTTTTCTTTGTGGTCCTGAAACAGTTCAGCTAGGGATGGACTTCCACATTGGAAAAACTGCAAATTGTCATTTTTAAAAATATAATTCTTCGGACTTTGTTCAACTGAAGAAATGTTCCCAACTTCAGTTACTTTATGAGCGTTTGAATTATCAAGAGCTGTATTTTCCAATGAGCTAGTCAGGAGCAAAGGATTATTTAAACTTTCTAAACTGCTTCGTACTGGAATGTTTTGCAAATCAGGTAGTGAATTATTCTGAATAAATAAAGAGTTATTCGGTGTAGTGTTCTTAATCATTAAGGATTTTAAATCTGGAATTCCTTTGAAAGCAGAATCATCTTTGGGGACACATTCAGATGCATGAGATCCTAACAAATTGGAATCTAGACTCTTTGAAACTAGACTTTCCAGACTATCTGTAGATGATAATCTGACAGATGGCTGACTTTTAAAAGAATCTCTTGGCATATCATCAATTAGTTCAGCTAGTGATAGCTCTTTTAACTTACATGATTCTAGTTTCTTTTCACTTCTAGGCCTGTCAAGTTTCTTTTTTTTATGGAGTAAAAAGTGACTTGGTACAACTGAGGAATTATGATATAATCCACATTTTGCTTCTGGACCAGAAAAATCAAATGATTTGCTACTGCAATCCAAATGGTTTTCAGACTGAGTACAGGAGTTTTGAACATTATCAGCTGAAACTTCAGAGTAAAATAATAAGACTCCTTACCTTACAAGAGCCATTAATTTTCAGATGAATAGGTTCACATATGCAGAAGACAATCACAGCAACCAAAAGGAAACATGAAATGAGGCATTAATTACTAAATGTTTCTTTGATTATGACTTGAATGAAGTGATAATTGATCATTATTTAATAAAAAGTGAACACTCTAAAAATCAATAAAAGAATTTTACCTTCCTTTAACTATCCAAAGTGACCTTCCTACTTTGTCCATTGACATATACAAATAAGTACCAAGTTAATTAATGTTCTAATTTCCATAAATTTTATAAGGTGAGGCTCTAACACTTAAGTTATACTCAGGAATGTCTCAAATTCAAAATGTCTTAAAAGTCAATGGAAAGAAGTTGGCTCATTTTCTGTATTTTTAATGTATTAAAAACAAGCAAACATCATTCTAATAATTTAAGTTCTACAATGATCTGGAATAAACTATTGATATAGATGACATATTACAGATTCATTCTCATATTTGGTTAAAAGTACTTACCACAAAATTAAAAAACAATTTTTAAAGGAAATAAAAATCACCCTTACTGAATGGTAGCAGACTACATATAAATTTGTTGTGGCAAAAGTCTAGTCCTCAGCTTACAGTAATTATCAACCCATTAGCAAATCATCATGTTCCTACTGATAGATCTCATACCAGTTACTATAAAAATATCTCAGTTCCCTTCTTATGTCAACTAGATCCCAAATTTAACCACAAACTCTACAAACTTAAAATTAAACATCTGGCTATAAATGCAAGAGTAATATAATTGATATTTATGCAGCAGACCTTTTTAAATTAAAGTAAAAATATCGTGGCAGTTAAGTCCTTAAATAAAACTAAATTGCTTTTGTAAATACTATAAGCATAAAGGGATTTTTTTTTTACATTGTCGGGCTATTAATTTCCAGCTCCTGAACCATTAGAGTTAAAAAAAAACAAGAGTAATTTAAAAGCTCTCTAAGCTACTATCAAAATGCTGAAGTGTCTTGTCTTGTTTTTAATAGGACTTAATTTCCCTTATATCCTGTTACTTATAAAAGCAAGCAGAGGAGCAAAAAGGCTTTGACAGAGGGAACAGAGCACTCAGCTTAAAATTTCACAAACTAGAAAACCAAATGAGTTACTGTAACATGCAAAATTTTCTACCCATTTTCCTTAACAGCTCAAGCAAATCACAGTCTCTTTTAAAACATTAACTAAAAGAGAACAAGTAAAAGCATACCTTTTGCTGTCTTTCCCGTGGATATTGCTCCCTCATTCTTGACCTTCAATTTCTGCATTTTATCTTGTTCCAGAAGCACTGACAAAGCCTTCTGCACATCAAACTTGTTCTTCAGAACTGCTTCAATCAATATGTCGTCCGGCACAGCATCTCCTAATACCTCTCTCATATGATCAAGGCATGAATAAAGACGAGCTAGAACAGACAGCAATAATTAAAAGCTATGCTAAATGGTATCATGAAAGCACCCTCAATCTTCAAACCTGAAAGAATTTGAAACCATAATAGGATGTTCAACTCTTCTTTTCCCTCTACAACTTATTTATAACTAGAGACCCAGTGCACAAAATTCATGCACAGGGTGAGGGGGTCCCCTCAGCCCAGCCTGCACCTTCTCCAAACCAGGACATCTTCAGGGATGGCCAACTGCTGGTTTCAAAACTGGCAGTTGGGCATCCCTCTCACAATCCAGGACTGCTGGCTCCTAACTGCTCATCTGCCTGCCTGTCTGATCACCCCTAACTGCCCCCCACCCCGCCAGCCCTGATCACCCCTAACTGCCCCCTCGTCAGCCTAGTTACCCTCAACTGCTCCCCCTACTGGCCTGGTTGCCCCAAACTGCCCCCTCTGCTAACCAGGTAACCCCCAACTGCCCCCCCCCCCTCCGCTGGTCTGGTTGCCCCTCACTGCCTCCCCTGCCGGCCTGATTGCCCCACACAGCCTGCTGTTCAGTCATTTGGATCTCTTGCTAACCCCTCTGCCGACCTAGTTGCCTCACGCAGATTGCTGGTCAGTCGTTTGGTTTGGTCGTCCCTCACTAAACCCCCTGCTAGCCTGGTCACCCCATGCAGCCTGCTGTTCAGTTGTTACTGTGAGGGCACTGTTACTAATTTGCATATTACTCTTTTATTAGTATAGATGATTTATATTTTTATCCAAACATACCCATCTTCTCTATCAAAGGAAAAATTTCATTAATTAAGAAATCACTGTAATAACTGTCTCCTAAATAACAATGACTAATGCTTAAAAAAAATTTTAATTGTATACATTAATATCTACTATATAATAGAGGAAAATCTAAATACAAATATCTTTGTTAAATGTTTAAGAGAATTACAAAGATGCAAATTCAGAACCAATGTCATTACCATTTATGAGTTCTATCTTGACACTTAATGTACATGGATATGACCCATCACAACACTTGCACAGTGTTACTTTGAACTTAAAATTTAAAAAATTAACAAATAAAAACAGCTGGCAGGGGAGCAGTTAGACATCAATCAGGCTGGCATGGGAGTGGTTAGGGGATGATCAAGCTGGCAGGCAGAAGCCATTAGGGGCAATAAGGAAGGCAGGTAGGTGAGCAGTTGGGAGTCAGCAGTACTGGATTGTGAGAGGGATATCCGACTGCCCGTTTAAACAGGCAATCAGACATCCCTCTGAGGAGTCCCAGGTTGGAGAGGGTGCAGGCTGGGCTGAGGGAAACCCCCTACCCCGTACTCTCGTGCATGAATTTCATGCACGGGCCTCTAGTTTTTCAGGAAAAAAACCTCAGACTATTTTTACTATACCTTGATCAAATTCACTTAGCTGATGGTTCAAAATAGAATTGGAGGATTCTTTCAGATCTTCATAATCATATTCTTCAGGCTCAGCAGGTTTGTCACGTCGTGAGTAAATAAACTGAGCAGCTAGAATATAAAATGATTGAAGAATGCTTTTATATAGTCATTTCTCATTAACTTTTTTTTTTTTTTTTTTTTTACAAAAGTTAAAGCAAAAATTAAGGATTCTGATTTATATATAGCCATTAATCTATATTCTATAATATTGGATAAAAACAAAGACAAAACATACCCCCAAATCTTCTCAAATGTCCTTACTAACTACTCATTAGCTTCTTATAATCATCTTCCTTATTTCCTCCTATTTTCAAAACCATCACCCTGAGTTTACTTTCTCTAGTTTTCAAAAACTACCTTTCCTAATATCTCATCCTTGCCTACTACTTTATCTTCTTAAAAATTTCTCTTCTTTGCCAAAACTGTTTTGGCTCAGTGGTAGAGCGTCGGTCTGCAGACTGAAAGGTCCCAGGTTCGATCCCGGTCAAGGGCATGTACCTTGGTTGCAGGCACATCCCTGGTAGGAGGTGTGCAAGAGGCAACTGGTCGATGTTTCTCTCTCATCGACGTTTCTAGCTCTCTAACTCTCTCCCTTCCTCTCTATAAAAAATCAATAAAATGTATTTTAAAAAAAATTCTCTTCTTTGGTATAAATATTCCAAACCTCTTATCAAACTTGCTTATTTGTATAATTATGAAAATATTAAACAGACTAGGTCTTCAATTTCCAAAAATTCCTAATTTGCCTAAACCCAGGAGTTGACCAAAATCATAGATCTTAACTTTTTAACATCTCATACTTTCAATCACACACTGATAACTGTACACCAGTATCATATTCCTAACTTTGACTTTCAGACCTCAGTCTCTGCTACTCTATAGTACTGGCACAGTTTCAATATGTAAGTGGGTATTATATATTTCATTAAAAGGAAGAAAGACAAAACATCAAAGTGCCAATATATGCATGAATATCACATACAAAATACAAGTGAGCAAAGAAGAAAATATCATGCATGCCTAAAGTGTTGACTTGACTAGATGACTTGACTTGAGTTCAATTCTTAAGAGACTGTGTTCAATTGTGAAGGTGTAAAATTGACTTGAGTTGAGTTCAATTCTTAGAGACTGTGTTCAATTGTGAAGGTATAAAATTAAAGAATAGGGAAGAAGGATAGAAATATCAACATAATATTCTAAAAGCAGGGTATTATTAGAGATTTTATATCCTTTGGCTTTCTGGAAGAGCATGTGACATGGAAGTCTATTGCTTAGCATTCCCACATCTGACTTTTGTGCATGTTTTCAGAAAGTTATTACCTATGAAAATAAGGAAAACTAACTATTTGACTTTTGTGCATGTTTTCAGAAAGTTTATTACCATGAAAATAAGAAAACTAACTACATTTGACTTTTGTGTATGTTTTCAGAAAGTTATTACCTATGAAAGTAAGGAAATGTTTTCAGAAAGTTATTACCCATGAAAGTTTTCAGAAAGTTATTACCTATATGCCAAGTAGGGCCTTCAATCCAGGCCTTCTATCCAGTATCTGGTACAAGAGATTTTTTTTTTAAAATCTCCTATCTAATTATCCTGCTACATCATCTACCCAGGTCAAAGGTGATAATGAATTGTAGGAGCCCAAAAGTATTATCCTTAATCTGTACAAGTGGTCTTTTGAAACCCCAATGAGCTTTAAAGAAATGCAGATTAAGCCATCCCTCAGCTTCTAACCAGACTTTTTCTATACTCTATTTCCTGATGCCAAGGTTAAGTCTACACATATTTTCTTCTTGGACAGCTGGCTCTCTTTTAGGAAGACTGGAAGGCTGGAGGAGGAAAACATGTGCTTCTTTCCTTTTTGCTTCTTATCCAGTCACCCGAGCAACAATTCACCTTAAAGAAGCAGTTTGTTCCAGTAACATCAATTAATATCAGCTTCTTTAAGGTGAATTCCCAGAAACAGCATCAACAGGCCCCCAACCTACATCTTCTGACACTACAATCAGCCAGCTGGCTAGAACTGTCTCTTCAAAGACTGATTCCAGCTTCACAGGCATCCTTCCAACAAGGGAACACATGCCAACTATGCAGTGTTCACCTCCTCAGAGGTCTGAGACCCAGCTCCACAGTATCTTCTCTTAACTTCAAAGGCAAAGTAATAAAGGAAAACCTGGGTTGCAGGTTCAATCCCCAGCCCCAGTTAGTTGGGGCATAACACATCAATGTTTCTAATATTCAAAATATTCCTGAAAATATATAATAAACTGCTGTCTGCCTTCAGAAGTTTTAGTTTTAGATAAGATTATCTTTTCAATACAATTTAGTTTAGTTGCATTTTCAAAGAACATTGGAAAAGCCAGTTTTCAGAGTTTTCTTCTAATTGATTAAAGCCAAGTGATGTAATCAAAATTTTAAATTCTACTCACAGCTAAAGAAATTATTTTTTCACCTTTAAAAGTTAATATATAATTACTTTTTAAAATATTACTTAATATTAGTCTTATGGAATAACTCTAGTGATAAAATGACACTAATACTTACTTAACATTTTTAAACACCCAAATTATGAAAATCAAATTATTTTTAAAATTCACCTGTTGACGGAGAAATACAATAATCATCTTCTACGGACTGGCCATAAAGATCATCATCTTCAAAATCTAAAATAAAAACACAAGAGATAAATTCATTTACAAGTTATATATTCTTAGATATTAACAAGAAAGCATCTGGATTCTTTCCAAAAGAAATTAAATTGTTCATCAAAATGAAAGGAACTTGGATTGTCTACTTTCTCTAAAAATTTTACCTAAAAGAAAGATATTTACTGAATTTCTTCACTTATTCACCAAATTCGTGCAAGAGTAGGCCTTTCTTCCACCGCCTGCTGGCACTGGCCTCCCTCTGGCACCAGGGACCCAATCTTCCCTCCGGCCCTGGCTTCATCTAGAAGGATGTCCTGAATGACGTCCGGTCTAATTAGCATATTATGCTTTTATTATTAGATTATTATAGATAGAAACATACATGGTTCTTCAGTTTTTAAGATAATTTGGTCCAATTTTTCACCTCAGGTGATCAAAAAGTAATCCCATAGCCCACATACTTAAATTGTCTTTCTGGAGTTGACAAATATTCAAATAAAATCCATCCATTTTTTTCACCAATGCTCTCTAAAAACAAAGTATTTATTTTTCATATCTTTATACATGGCCCATAATTGTTCACTGCATAGAGATGTTGTGCTTGTCCTAAACTAATTTTAATTTTACTATTGGTCTCCAAAGCACAGGTTGTAAAATCAGACCAAGAAAGCAATTTTTCTTCATGTAGATTCTAGAACTTAGGGATTTTAAAAAATGAAATAAAAGAATTTTTTTTTCAAATTTGTCTATAATTTGTATGATGCTTAGCATAGCCCATAATTATTCACATAATTAGGACAAGATGTTGTGTTTGTCCTAAACTAATTCTAACTTTTTTTAAAACTCCTAGAGAACATTCAAATACAAAATCAGACCAAGAAAGCAATTTGTCTTCATGTAGATTTTCATAGAACAAGGTAATCTATGAAAACCAGCTTATCCTAAACTCCGTCAAAATCATTCTGCTCAGGCTTATTGGCCTTTTTTCTACTGACTAGAATGTTTTTTAACCAAATTTATTAAAGCTGTTTCCTTCTCTTGGCTAAGTTCCCATTGAAATGTCACTTGATTACATATGTCCTCCCTGACCCCTCTGGGTATAAGCAGAAACCCCTCCTCTCTTCTCTCCCCACCCCCATCATTTTTTACTGTCTAGCACACTACTCAAATTCAAAGTATTCAAAGCACTTTAAGCACTTTACCTGCTTCCCTCCACAAGATTATAAGCTTCTTCAGGGCAAGACCTGGCACTAAATTTAATGTTTGGTACTAAATTTAAACTTGTTTTATTATAAATGAATCAAGCAATTTAAAACTAAAAACGCACAAAGAATATAAATGTTTGCAAAAGTATTTCATTCATTCAACAAATACTAGCACTATGTCAGGGACCATTAGAGACATTTGGGGTACAAGAGTGAGTAATAGGCACATTCCCAAGATCTTTACAACACTGAAATCAACCAGAGAAGACAAAAAATGGGCAATTACAAAACACATATAGCAAGTGTTTGACATGTATTGGGAGTGAGGTGGCTAGGGAAAAATCCCAGGAATATAATACTTAAACCAGTTCTAAAGATAGTAAGCTAGTTTCTGAGGATATTCATGAAGCAGGAACTCTTATTCTAAGACCAACTGTTTATGGCAAAGAAAAAAATAAATAAATGCTACTTTTGGATTAACATGTGTAATTCAATAAATTAGGTCACAATTCTGAGTTAATAACTTATTAGCAAATAAATGAGCCATTCACAAAAATATTTTTAGATGTAAAAACAATAAGAATCTTTTCCATTGTTTTTCAATACTGAAATTGACCCTAAAAGTACCACAATATAGAAAGATAAAAGAGAATTCATTCCTGGTATTTTTGTAAAGTGGTTCTTTATCTCAACAAAATTTTGGGAGTATTTACTTCATGTAAGTAAGCAATGTGGTGGCTATTGGAGTAAATATCAAATATATGGACTTTGTCTTCCTGGCACTTTTAAATTAATAGCTAAGTGCTAGCCAAATTACAGAGAACAAAGTTGAGAGTTGAATAGAGGAACCAATAGGTTTTGGAGCATAAACTCTCTCTAATGAAGGTATATTAGTTTTGAGAACTTTAAAATTATTACTCTGAGTGCAAAGGAAAGCTTAACTGGGAAAAAGAGAGAGATACTGGACCCTTAAAATGAGTAGAATTTGTAAGGAAAAGGGAGTGAACCTCCTATTCTATAGGAATAGCTTGGTTATGATGTCATCAATTGTTCCAAAGAAACCTGACCACATGACCAGGAGTGTAGCACTCCCTCCCTCAGGCCAAGCACTTCCCGGAGCTTTCCTTCACATGGAATTCATACACTATTCCTCCAATTCACTCTGAATGAGGTGCTCTTACTTACATAGCTTACTTTCTGTAGCATCTCATACTCACTTTAATCCTCTGTAACTTGCTCATCTCCCCCTTTAGACTCCCTCAAACATTTGACTATCAGTCCCCAAAGTTTAGAACAGTAGACCAAGCATTCAATTAAAGAAGAATAAACAAGTAATGTTGTTTGAGGAAGTAAAACTTATTAAAGAAAAAATTATTAAATAAATTAATTACTTTATTTAAAAAAAAATAGGCCTATTCATGTGTTTTGTAGCATATATGCAAAAATGCATCCCAGGCTAAAGTCATGTCTAGGTAACTATGGTCGGCATGAAATACCTATATCCACTGCAATACTTAACAACCGCCTCCATTCTAAGGTGAACACTAGGAACCTAACACATTCATATACATATACATACACATACACATATACATACACATACACATATACATATACACATACACATATACATATACACATACACATATGCCAGGCTAAGGCTTCCAAAAGCGGTTCAGAATGTTAGCCTCCAGTATGGTGAGAGCATATGGATGCTCCACAATAATCTACTGGGAGCGTGGGAGAGCCAATAATAACCACCAACACATCAAGCATACTACATTCTCTGCCCTCTACAAAGCGATGGGTCTTCATTCCTCTTCTGCACTCAGTCAAACTTGTCTATAATTTGTATGATGCTTAGCGTAGCCCAAAATTATCCACTGCCTAGAGATGTTGTTTGTCCTAAACTAATTCTTTTTTTTAAACTCCTAGAGAACATTCAAATACATTTTATTTCATTTTTTTAAAATCCCTAAGTCCTTTTCGACGCCTTCTTTCTTCTATTGCTGCTTCCCCCCGCCTCCCCGCCCCCCCCCCCCCACATCCCCAAATGCATTTACATTGAGAACTTTCAACCAAGAACTAAGTATACACCTAAGATCATCTAATCGACTTATTCTTTGGGTCTTTTTCATAGGCATCTTTTCCACCGTCCCCTACATTTCCAAAGTTAATTTGAAACTCATAGAAAATAAATTACAGTGAGCTCAAGACAGATTCTGCTCTAAATATGTATGAAAACACAAAAAGATTTGCCATGTAACACTAACACAGTTGAAACAGTTGGATGTAACCATCAAGTCGGTCAATCCGTGTGTTACAAACAAGCAAGGTTTCATGGGCATGTTTGGATGGGGGTTGGGGAGTCGGGAAAGGGAAAGGGAGCCACAAGCAGGTAAGGGCGGGAGGAAACCAAGCGAGGGAGACGTGACGACGCTCTACGCGCACAAACACCCCGCGTCCCTGCCCCGCCGGAACCTGACGCGGTACTGCACCTCCCCTCCCCTCAATAAGCTCAACCCCAAAGGCAGACATCACGACGTAAAACAGTGCCATTCTCTCCGGCACGCGGATACCCTGTGATTCTCCCCAGCCTCCTCTGAATGCCAGGCATGCACCACGGACGAGGAAATCAACAGATCCTGGGGATGTCAACACGCTGGGATTCCACCTGAGACGGAGAACAGGACATCGCGGCACAAGTTCGCCCCCTACCTTCATCGTAGTTATAGCCTCGAACATTCCGATGCCGGGCCATGGCGGCGAAGAGGGCGTCCGCCACAGCCTCTTCCAAAACACCCGTTTCAGAAACTGACCAGGCGCCAACTGCGGCCAGGACAGCACAGAAACGCCATCTTGGCTTCCGGCAGACCTCTGCGCCGTGCGCCTGCGCACGCCGGACGTCCTGTCTGCGCACTGCGCGCGACGGCGGCCTCTCAGGGTCACGCGCCTCCAGAGGAACGCATGCGCATTCGCGTAGCTGGGAGGTGCCTTTTTGGCGTGGCCCCGCCTACCGGCGGGGTTGACTGACAGGCGTTCCAAAGAGGCGGAATTCCGCTCCTCACAGTGTATTGACTTGGACCAACAGTTACTGCGGTAGAAAGTATCCTAGACCTACACCCGCGTTCCAGGTTATTTTCCAGATTTGGTTTCTGATAAGCTACGGAAAAAGCTGACTGCATGCCAGAACTCTGAGGCCTAGTGTTAGGCCCATAATAAGCACTAACAAACTTGTGCGTATATTTTTAAGAATTAGCCCAAGCTTTAGAGAAAGTGGAAATGCTCTTTTTAAATTGAAAATCTTTTTACAATAAGTCACCAGGCTTTCATGTAATACATGATTTCATGTATGTGACTCTTGCATTAGTACCTCCAGTAAACAATTATCTGGCCACATAAAGGATTATCTCCATGATTCTCTGAGCATTCATTAACAAACAATCCTGTGTAACATGCTAAGAGTATTACATATAGCTTTTTAGATATAACACATCTAGGGCCACTTATGGTAATGTTGAATGTTGTTGAGATATTTCAGTAACTTTGTGGTGGCCATTTTGTAATACATACAAGTATCAAATCATTATGTTGTACACCTAAAACTAATACAGTATCATATGTCAATTATATGTCAATAAAATATTAGGAACTTCTATTCATCAAAAGACAACATTAAATTATGAAGGCAAGTTTCAGCTCAGAAGAAGATATATCCAGCACCTACTATATCTCACAAAGAACTCATATGTAAAACACACAAACAAGCTTATGTACCCCCTCAAATTTTTACCAAATAAAAAATATCCTATCTAATAAAGAGGGAATATGCTAATTGATCCTCATGCAGTTGCAAAGATGGTGGCATCCACAGCCAACAAGGAGGGAATATGCTAATTGGCCATCACGCCCTCAAAGATGGCAGCACCCACAGCCACAAGATAGTGCCCAGTCCCCTCAGTTCCACCAGGGCCAGCCTTGGATGGCAGCTGCCAAGCCTCCCAGGGCTGGCTCCAGGTTTGTGCTGCTGGCAGCAGCATAGGTGTGATGAGGTGTTGCCTTCCCCTGATCGCCCGGTTGCCTCCCACCCCTGAGGGATCCCAGACTATGAGAGGGGGCAGCCCGGACTGAGAGCTCCAGTGCATGAATTTTCATGCATCGGGCCTCTACTTTTTAAAAAAGTATAAGTCCCATATAGATACATCACAAAAGAGAATATACATATGGGCATTGAGCATTTGTAAAGGGCCTAAACATCCACTAATCTTAAAAAAATGCAGATAAAAAAAATGGTTTGCCCCACCAGAATGACTAAAATGAAAATGATTGACACTAGTGAGTAGTGGCAAGGAATACTGTGTAAATAGTGGAAGTCTCAAACATGGCTAGAGCATGTGCACATTGGAACAACCACTTTGAAAAACTTTGGCCAGTTGTTCAAATACCAAATGTATGTGTGCCCTGTGACCCAAAAGTGCCATTCCTAAATGCATGCCCTACAAAAATTAGTGCTTGTGTACACTAATGTTAGAAATGTTATTCACAGTAGCCCTCAGATGTAAACAAGCCAAATTATCAATAATAAACCAATAAATATGACATCTGCATTTAATAGGAATCCACATAGCATTGAAAAATCACTAGGGAGGTTTTATACATGTGTAAATATTTACTGTTTTGTATTTTTAAGACTTATGCAACTTGTAGTACATGTTATACCACAATAAAAAAAGGGGGGGGGGAATATTTAATTAAAATTTCAAAATATCTTTGATATAATATTTCAAGTGCTTCCTTTATACTTTCATAGTATCCTGTTTTTAAAATATGAATACCAACTAAGAACTTTTCTATATCTGGATTAGAATTCATTCAGCAATATATCAATATTTCCCAGAGTAAATCTGTTCCTTATTTTCTATTTTAAACAGAGCAATTACTGATTCATTTGGATTTAAATTTAAATTTTTCTGTTGTTTCTCTCGGTAACTACTTAAACACTCATAAGAATTTTAATAAATTATGGGAACTTTTGACCTTAATAATTAGGAAAGAAAAAGTGGGAGGGAGGGAAGATAAATAATTGTGACATTAAACACCTCATTAAGGAAGTGTTAGAGTTTTCTAATTAAATATCCAGGAGAGTAAAGCATATACTGCAAACTATAAAATGATTTAGGTGTATAGAAATGTCCTTTTGGGGTCCTTTGCAATCCTGTGACTGTGGTTATATATTAATAACAAATATTTTTGTCCTATTATTATTGCCAAATATCTATAAACTCTGTAAACAGATGACTTAATTTTCTTGTTGATTTTCTTAAATTAGTTCTATAACTCTCTGCCTGATGTAATAATATTCTTACCCTCCTCTATGGAATTTCCCCTGACTTTCTTCACATATTATTCGTTTTATCCCTTTCTTCTAATTCTTTCTCTTTTTTTAAAATTTAAGGCAGAAATTTAGTTGAGTGAAAATTGGCAAGAAACAGTGAACAGGTCCTTTATCAAGACAAAGCTTTGCTCTCAAGGGGCTTGAGGCTGTCCAGGATTCCATGCTTTCAGAAGCAATGACAGCATAACTAAACAAACAAGGATGTGTTCAGGGAAGCTGAAACCGGATCTTCAAAGATTCAGTGGGTGATTTTTAATTTCTGTGTAGCATTATAGAGCTTAATGCAGAACATATCAAAAACTTGGAAAGGCACTGGTAAGGTCATGAACTTCATAAAACAGAAAGATTCTTGAGAAGAAAAAAATAGAAGAATTTTATATTTAGACTAGAGGCCTGGTGCATGAAATTCATGCATGAAAGGGGAAGGGTGTTCCTCAGCCCGGCCTGCACCCTCTCCAATCTGGGACCCCTCGGGGGATGTCTCATTGCCAGTTTGAATGTCTAAACTGGCATTCAGACATCCCTCTCACAATCTGGGACCACTGGCTCCTAACTCTTCTGCCTGCCTGCCTGATCGCCCTTAACCCCTCTGCCTGTCTGCCTGATCACCCCTACCTTGCCCCCCTGCCAGCCTGATCATTCCTAACTGCCTCTGCCTCAGCCCCCTCTGCAGGAGGCAACCTGGCAGATCAGGGGAAGACACTGCCTCCATTATCCCACTGCTGCTGCCACTGCTGACCTGAGCCTCAGCCCTTCAAAGCCACGCCTGAGCCTTGACTCTCGCAGCTGCTGCTGTGGCTTTGTATGGAAGGACTCTGGAACAAGTCCACTCTAATTAGCATATTATCTTTTTATTAGTATAGATTTGGGGACCATTACATCCACGCAGAACTACCTCCTAAAAAGTTGAAAACAAAACAAACTTTTAAATGCTTTTAAAATATGGCAGGTGTTAAATAAATGTTAGCCATCTTTATTCTACTGATCATGAAAACAATAATTCTATCACATGAAAAAACATAATGGGAATATTCTCCAGCATATTCTTCATGCATGAAGGGAAAGGGTGTTTTGTTTACTTTATATTTTTATGTGTCCCTTCAAATTTGGGTAAAGTGAGTAGCCCTAACATATAGTTACTATTAGTAACCTGGACAAGACCAGAACTCTTAACATTACAGTCAGTGATTCTTTCCCTTCAACCAAGTTGCTCCTTGAAAGGAAGCAAAAAGGGGACTTCTATAATACTTCCAACAATAAAGATAAGTTTTTAAATAAAAAAAAAAGAATCTTCTTGAGAAAAAGACATGCATTTCTTCTTGACAAAGTTTTCTCTAGTCATTGCTTATACTGATAAATGAAATACTGTATTTAGTTTCCCTAAATACTAGACATTTTCTTTGACATTGAGGACTCCAGAATTCAGTCTACCATGGCTCACAATGATCTAGATTCTTTCTAAATTCCCCGTTTATCACCAATTCGAATGTTTCCTCCCTAAGCATCAGTACATTCTCTAAAAGTTCTTTTTCAGAAAGAGCCAGACAAAAGGCAACATCTCTAGTTCAGAGGAAGAAGAAGAAAGAGGGCTGATATAAGCCCAGCAAAGAGAGCAACAGAGGGAGAGATAGTTCAGTCTATATTTGGCTCTTCCTGTTGAGCTTATTGGCCAAATTGTGACTTCTAAAAACTGACAATTTCCAATATTACTTGCCTCTTAAATTTTTATTGTTTTCTCTCCTTTTAAATTAACTGTCAATAGGATATCACTTATTTATACTTACCTGTACATACATTAAAACAGATGTGTGTATTCTAATATGTTCTGAATGTGGGGATAACATTGCCTCACATTTTGCCTGTTCTAAAATACCAGAGGGAAAAAAGGAAAATCGAAAGTCAATGTGATGCCATATTAATGACTGTTAAGAAATGCCCAGTGCTGAAGGTAGGTCGGACATCCAGTGACTTTGATATTACAGCAATTTAGGTGGGGAAAACCAGAATGTGAGCTAAATTCTTGACCATACATTTTTGCATAATATATGCGAATGAGATGTGTGGTGTGGTAGGAGGAGGAGGAAGGTGAGAATATAGGAAAAGGAAAGGTATCAGTGAGGATTTTGTGTGAAGTTAAGGGAGAGAACTTTCCAAAAGGCCTGCATACTTTGCACATGGTTGTTTTTGTTTGTTTTGCTATTGTTTTATAATATTATTTCTCCATCAAGCAAAAGGAAGTACTTTTCGGGAAAATAAATAAAATCTGAACCCTTCAGACATTTGTATTTATTAAAGATTACACAGTATGTCAAAAGCAAGGTGTGCTAATATCCTTACATCCTGGTCAAATTTCAACTCTAAAAATT